ATTGTAGATGACAAAATATATATATATATATATATATATAAAGAGAGAGAGGGAGAGACTTTTCAAATCCAAATTCCGTTTTATCTCCATTGGTGTAATAACATTTAAAGAGGATTCAGACAGATCTAGAAACAGTCATGAAGCTATTCTAGGAATAAGCTCTGAAGAATAAGCTTTTCATAATTCCTTCCCAATTAAGAAAGAAAAAAAAAGGCACTCACCGGTGGTGGGAGTCCTTCGAACGAAGCAGGCTCGTCCACCTGTGGCTGATAGTTTGGCATGTTGCGTCCGTCTCGCACTTTCTCTCCGTTATGTTTGGATATCGAAGTGTCCGCGTTCGGGGAGTGAATTGCGAACCACCGGAGCGGAACGGCCCGAAACAAACTTCCGTTTTCCTCACCGATCTCCATCGCCCCGTGAAACGAAGAGAAAGCTCACTCGACCCCGCTACTCACTAATGAGTGTAAACAAGGTCTTTTCACCTGTAACATTTCCAATGATTGGGAAACATTTGTTCTTTATGGGCACCTTTTTTTTTATTTTTCGAGATCGTTCCGCAGGAAGTCATTTTTTCATTGATCAAGTTGTTCGATAAAGAGAAAGTAGGAAGTAACAGAAAAGGGCTCTGATTATCAGAATTACCTGATTATCCGAATCATCTTTATTTACAGTTTTGTGAAATGAAGTCAATCTTTCCCTTTCTAAGCGTTGCCATGTTTTGCACAGAAAACCGAAGCACAACAGTTTGATTTCAGGAATAGCGCAAGCTTGAAAACGTATTTTCGAAAATAAATGAAACATAATTATTTTCATTGCAGAAGTCAGTTTAAAATTTTAAAGAAAAAAATATACGCATAATGAATAAATTATTAATGTTGCTCTGTTATTTTACTTATTGCAGTTTATTTTAAAATTTATTATATTGAAACATATTTGCTCAGGGTGTCAGAGCTACTCATTTTGCAGTTATCCCGTAATACTTACAAAAGAAAATATTGTCCTAACCATTCTGGGCAGCATGTTTTAAAATTTCACAAGCACTTTAACATCACAATTTTTGCAAGAATCTCTGTATCTGTAATCTTACTACATATGAAAATCTAATGATAACGTCGCAGTTTTCCATTGTTTTTTGTGCAAAAAAAACATTAATTTACTGTTATTAATTACAGTTAAAGCGATCTGTTAAATGGTTTAGAACTTAACGATCAGTTTCATGCACAATGAGATGCAAGCAAAAATAGTATTAAATATATCTGTCCATTTGGCACACGAAAATATTAAAAATTTGAAAAAATATATTATAAGTTAAAAATAACGTTAAAAAATATGTAAAAAAAAATTTAAAGGAAAAAAAAATTCTAAAAATATTCAAAAACTCAAAAAAAAAAAACGGAAAGGAAAATAAAGAAAAGACAGCATTTCGTCATCAGTTCTTACGATTATAGGCAAAAAAGTGCTTTCTAATATTGTATTAATGTAGCCAAAGCAAAATATATTAATACAGTAGTGTGAGGAGGATCGAAAACTGAAACGAAACTGACTTATTTAGCAAAAAATGTAAAAGAAAAGAAAAAACGCAAAATAAAACAATCAAGCAAAATATAGAAAATACAGAATAAAACTCAAAATGTAATATNCTAAGTGGAAGTAGTTGTGTTTGTGCACATTAAACTTAAGACTACATACTTTAATGCTGTATGTATAGAAAAAATTATTTTTTTAGTATTAAAATGAAGTTTAATCGAAACATTCAACCACAATCAAATTCAAACAATCCATTCAAACAATCGAAACATTCTACTGCATTCAACATATTTTCAAAACTATTGTTTACCATGTTAACAGCTGCATAAATACTTGAAACTTTGAAAATAATCTTTTTTTAATATAACAATTAATGTCCGATGGCCCATTGACTTGAAAAAATATTCTATACATATGAAATTGACAGTGGGCGGGGGTACCCGCTGGGCGGGGCTACCCGACTCTCCCCTAATCTCGTCATCAGCTCTTACGATTATAGGCGAAAAAGTGCTTTCTAATATTGTATTAATGTAGCCAAAGCAACATATACAGTAGTGTGAGGAGCACCGAAAACTGAAACGAAAATAGAACTTATTTAGCAAAAAATGTAAAAGAAAAGAAAAAACGCAAAATAAAACAATCAAGCAAAATATAGAAAATACAGAATAAAACTCAAAATGTATTATATAAAGAGACTGGCGAATTCAAATGTAGTAAGACTTACCGACATTTTTCAAAAATGATTTAAAATGTTTTCATATCAAGTTTGCCAAATTACAAAAGGAGAAAATAAAAGAATACAACAAAATAAGAAAATAAAAGAAACGATGGAATCAACTTATGGTTCGTTCTTACTAAAGTATAGAAACGCGTTTGATTTGTTAGTAACCTTGGACTGGCTCAAATCTGAATGTGCGAAAAGTAATAATATTATACTGGATAATTCAAAATTTATAATTAATAAGGCTGAATTTCAATTATAAAATTTTAATGTTAATAAGGTTAAAATGTAATTAAACATTTTGTTTTGTATTGATGATTTCAAAGAAATTTTTAACACTTAATAAAAAAAACTTTAACAAATTCTCATTAAATATTAGAAAATTTTTTGCCATGGATTTGCCCAAATTGGATTTGCCAATGATAATTTAGTTAATATATTGTTCAAGACTAGTTAAGGTGTTAGATTTGGAGGCAGGTTTGGAGGCAGGTTTGAAGAATTAGAATATTTAATAACAGTTCTTATCTGCATTCAGTTTTGTTATCATTTAACTTTATATGTTGTACTAGATAATTTTGAAAGCTGACCAATCTGGTCACCAATGACGGCTAATATCGTTTACTTTTTTCTAACTTTCGGAATCACAGTACCTGAAAAATTTATTAGGTACCGAAAAGAAAATTTGCGTATGCTTATACTAATTTGTTATCTATAACATAGGAGGTCGCAAATAATGTCATTGACAAAGACAGACGGGACATCATATATTTTATGCATTCAATACATATAAACTCATCAACTGCTTCTCAACTTAAATGATAATACTTTTCTTAGAACCGAAACAATATCCTGCCTCTGTTTACATTATGTCGGTGAGCTGGATTGAAATTTGTGTTTTAAAAAATTAACATAGCATTTCTCTTATCAAAACTGTTATTTTCTTTATGAAAAAAGTCAATTAATGTATCTAAATCAGTGGTTCCTAAATGGTGTTCCGTTTTTCGAATTTTTCTTATTAAACTTGTGTTTTAATTTATTTTTTTTTAAAGTCAATTAATGTTTATATATCAGTGGTTCCTAAAAGGTGTACCGTTTTTCGAATTTCTCTTATTAAACTTGTGTTTTAATTTATTTTTTTTAAAGTCAATTAATGTTTATAAATCAGTGGTTCCTAAAAGGTGTACCGTTTTTCGAATTTCTCTTATTAAATTTGCGTTTTAATGTATTTTTTTTAAAAGTCAATTAATGTTCATAAATGAGTGGTTCCTAAAAGGTGTACCGTTTTTCAAATTTCTCTTATTAAACTAGTTTTAAATTTTTTTTTAAAAAAGTCAATTAATGTTTATAAATCAGTGGTTCCTAAAAGGTGTACCGTTTTTCAAATTTCTCTTATTAAACTTGTGTTTTAATTTTTTCTTTGAAAAGTCAATTAATGTTTATAAATCAGTGGTTCCTAAAAGGTGTTCTGCGGGAACCTAGGGCTTCATGAAAGGGTCCCTGAGGCACCGAGAAGAAGGACTTTTTTAAAACCAACAATAAGTTTTGACACTCTTAGTTACATTTATAAGCAATCAATAAATCATTATTATTCAATATTTTAGTAATTTTTATGAAATGAAAGTAAAACGTCTGAGAAAAAAGAAATAGCAATAATTAAAAAAAATTATATTTGGAATAAATTAAGAAAAAAAGCATGCATATATAGAAATGTACTTAAGCATTCTACATCGAACATTTTAATTTAAAATAAAACAATTAAAATCAACAATAAAAAAATTTGCTACCAATACAACTATTCTCCAACATTTATAAAAGCGTTTTTTTTTCGTTTTATTGTTGATGACAAAATAATACGTTTTAATAAAATTGCGTTTTAATAAAATTAAAAAAATGATGAAAATAATAGAGAATTTTATGTAATATTTTCAAAATAGTTTGTTTTTCTTTATTTAAATTGTTTCGTATCTCAATGACTTTGGGATTTCCCCCCAAAGAATGTCAACTATTAAGGGTTGCTTAGTAATTTTATCTTTTATTTACCGTCGTTACACAGCCGACACAAGTTTTGTGCTTACTACTAATGTTCACCTCCGTAGCCTTGTAATTCTGAACATTTTATATGGGTTTTTTAATACATTTTACTTTTTTTTCTATATTCAAGCCATGCAAGCAACATAACTATCTCAACTGACGTTGAAGCAGGTAAAAGCATTATTAGCTATTTAAGCTTAACAGGCAAGTAACTTACTTAGCTGTATCCTTCTTTGTAGGCTTCATTATTTTATTAAGTTGATCAGATAATTTTAATTCAAATTCATCGTGTTGCGCAGTACAGAAAGAGACAGTTTTGACACAAAGGTTTTATTGAGTAAGTGACATATTGTACATTCCCATGAAAAGTATGAATAACATTATAAAAATTAAGTAAGTGACATATAGTACATTCCCATGAAAAGTATGAATAACATTATAACAATAAATTTTATGTACTTGGCACTGAAAATATGCAAAATGGTCTATCAAGCTCTCTACTGAAAAATTTTGCACGCAAAATGACTAAAGTTTTGTAAAATAAAATAGCCAGTAAAGTTTTCTACTGGACAAGTCTCTTCTTAAAATGCCTTACCAAATTCTCTACTGAGAAATTTTGCGCTTGAAATTATTAAAATTCTGTAAAGTGAAATGGCCACTCAAATTCTCTACTGAGAAAGTTTTCCTTGAAATGGCTGTAAAATTCTACGAAGTAAAATGACCTGCCAAGCTTTCTACTGAACAGTTCTCTACTTGAAATGGCTGCACAATTTCGCAATTCAAAAGGGCCTATCAAGTTCTCTCTTGAAAAAATTTGCACTCAAAATTTATAAAATTCAGTAAGGTAAAATGGCCTGTCCAGTTTTCTACTGAACAATTCTCTACTTGAAATAGTTGTAAAATTCATTTAAATAAAATGGCCTGTCAAGTTTTCTACTGAACAATTCTCTACTTGAAATAGTTGTAAAACTCAATTAAATAAAATGGCCTGTCAAGTTTTCTACTGAACAATCCTCTACTTGAAATAGTTGTAAAACTCAATTAAATAAAATGGCCTGACAAGTTTTCTACTGAACAATTCTCTACTTGAAATAGCTGCAAAATTCCGTAATGTAAAATGACTTGTCAAATTCTGTGATGAGAATTTTTTCACTTGAAGTTACTAAAATACTGTAAAGTAAAATGATCTGCCAAAATCTTTGGTGAAAAAGTCTTTGCTTGTAATGGCTATAATCCTATGAAGTAAAATGTCCTGTCAATTTTTTTAAACGATTCTCCGCTTGAATCGGATGTAAAATTCTGTAATGTAAAGTGGCCTGTAAAGTTCTATACTGAAAAATTCTTTACTTAAAATGGCTATGAAATACTGTAATTTAAAATGACCTTCTAAATTCGCTACTGAAGTGCAGCTTCATTCCAGAAAACACATTTTGTCATCATGTCAACATATAATGATGCCAGCGTTATGAAAACATACGAGTCTAATAAATAATGATATGGAGTACCAAGGTCAGATGTAGAATTAGTAAAAATGTGAAATAGATTATTCATGGTGTTGAATAAGTCTTAAAGATGATTTCAGGTGTAGATTTTCGATTCCACATCGTCAGATGTAGAATGAGTGAAGATCATCTCTGTTCGCAGCGTTCTTCTCTGCCTCTGCGCCTAATGAAACGCGACATGAACTGTAGAAGAATGCTACACAGCATAGACATGCCCAGCATCATGTAGAGCAGTCCATCATATGAACCCATACCTTCTCTGAAGATACCTAAAAATTAAAACAATCTTATTATTTCACATTTAAATAAATTTAAATAAACAACTAATTCACAACTGACATTTTACTAAACAACTAAAAAATATTTCTTACCGATAAAATCATTTATAAAAAAGAAATAAAGTTTGTGTGTAAGGTTCTACAGAACCAATAACCCGCTAATTTTTTCTAAAAAAAATTTCTCTAAACTTGGGAATTTTCAAACATTTTTTTAGCCTGAAAACCACACCGTCTCCTCCACTAAATCTAAAGGGCTCGGCAATGGTGTCATTCATGAAAGAAGGTCCCTCCATTAGTTTTAAAATTTCAAAACCTTCGTAGTTGTTTTTGAACTCATTAAATTTTTTTCAAGACCTTTTGATATTTTTATTTACCTCAGTTTTAAGATGCATGCAAGCTTTCGTCTTGAAACTAGTCAGCGAGTAAGAAATGCGTGGATTTACTTAGATTAGTGCAAGTTTTTAGCATAAACATCCATGAGAACTAAAATTATCTGTTTGATTATTTATATCAGATACTGTATACCTTCTGAGTATTATTTTGTAAAATTGGCACACGATGTGAAGGTGTTCAGGTGGTGCAATAGGTTAAAGCAGTGCTTATCCCGGTGGTAACGAGCAGTAAGACGTGAGTTCGATCCTGGCAGCCGACTAAACAACCAAAGAGTGTACGCAATGGAGTAACAACTTTAAATCAGTCGTGACTGAAAGACTTTTCACTCGTTGCGATGAGGAAGTTTGTTGAGAGGGCTAAAGAGGCCAAAATGATGTGGCTTTCCTATTATGGCCGTTAAAAAAATTGAGCAGGGATAATTGATTGACAGCGTGGATTAACAGCTTTCCAGGTAGTTGTACCACCAATTTTACTTCAAAAATACGTGTATTTCACCTTTAAATTTTACTAAGGATTCGTAAAATTTGCGTTAAACTGGAACGTCAATTTATAGAAAAAAATAATTATCCAAAAAACTAAGTTACATAAAATTTTACGTAAACAAATTTGTTTCTTTTACGAATATTTTACCATTTGTACTAGGCAAGAAAGAGTGCGTCATTTTTGTAATATTTGCGTCAAAATGTACATAAGCTGAAACGTCGAATTACAGGAAAAAACAGATATCCAAAAAATAGAAAATTTATGTAAATAAATTCGAACCGAAATTTACCAAAATTTAAATGGTAAATTTAATTTGTCAATAATACGTAAAATACACAGAATCATTTTTACTTAATCTGAATTGTAAATATTCTTTCGTTAATCTTTCTTAAAATATACGAAAGCAATCCTACCGAAGGGTTGTTGGTATAATCCATTCCGTTAATATTACGTAAAATATACCAAAGCTTTTTTGACCAAAAATTTCAATGATAATATCATTCCGTCAATGATACGTGACATTTACGTATAAAGCGTATTGACTTTACTAATTACCCAAAAATGTACATTTAATGTACGCATTATGCTACATGGGTAGCTGAAGAATTAACTATTTCTTCGAATTTAGAATTGAACAATCGAAATGATTATCTTGAGGACCACTTTATTTCAAATTAGCAAAAAATTTTAACTTTTATCTACACTTTAAAAAGAGTAAGTCAAATCTAAACACCAATAATAGAGACATCGTAAACGAAGATCCTTTCATTCACACCATTTGAAAATAAGTGAAATTCAGAATGTAGCCGAATTGCACTCTGACTTGGCATGAAATATGCCAGCTTCTGCAAGTCAGGACAGAGTTTGAAGACTACTGCTTGAAGCTAGAACTACTCTGAAAAATGGACTACCATTGACTTTTTAAATTTAGTACTTTTAATTGTTTTTTCTGTTAATTGTTTGAAGAACAAGTACAAGTATTTATAACGAAAATGCTAAAAAAAAATCGTTCCTTTCTTCTGAAAATGTTCAGGTCCTCGACATGTAGAATGTATTTTAGCGTGACATTGACAACTGTATAAAATCAGTCAAACAAAGCATCATCGATGTCAATCACTGTGAGATAGAACAGAAGGCGAGAGCTAGAAATAGCTTTGAGTTTCATTTAATAATGATACTGTAATCCTGACAGGAAATTATTAGTCGAAGTAATTCCATCCCCCCTTCTCATTTCGATACCACTTTACTGCCCTTTGGTGTGCGTTCCATTTTCTTCATTTAATTTATTTTTAACGACTTGTGTTTAATGATGTTGTTGTTTTTCTTAACCCAAATATGATAGTGTGGTTTGGCGAATGTCAGTAAGAGAAAAAGAAACATCGGATTTTTCTCTCTTCATTTTACTTTATTGAAAAATATTGCTGAATTGACTACTGAAGAAAAATAACATTTTCCTTTTTTAATAAATCCATGTTATAAAACATATGTTTTACTTTGACTATCTTATTTAGTTATAATTAATAAGACGTATTTAAGGAAAACCATCAGTGTAAAAATATCAAACAATTTCGCATTTTCTTTAGAAAATGAATAAAAAAAATAAGTAAATAAACTTAAGTTTAGAGAATACCGGACAATGTCCCTTTATCATAAGGCATAAGTGCATGAAATACCAGTAAAGTGTATACATGCAAATGGTATACATATCTCTGCCAGGTTATGAATGTGGTTAATCTGGTTATTATACTTAAGGCTAGAATAACAGACTTTTTTACTTACCTATAACGACAGTTACAGTCATTTTGACCGCAGTAAGAAACCGGTAATAAGTAATTGATATTTTACCCGAATATCAGGAAAACTTTCAAATAAGTCGTTTTCATTAATTTTAACATTCTGCAGTTTTTAAACTTCTATTTTCAGAAAAAAAATATCTTACTACATATAAAAATCTAATAACGGTGTCGCAGTTTTTTATTGTTGTACGCGTATTTTTATTGGCCAGAAAATCACGTGGTGGGATCCAGTTTTTTCTCATTTATTTCCATATTATTTTGATTGTTATCAGTATAAAATTAATAAAAGTTATAAAGGTATAATAAAAAAGCTCTAATAAAGGTATTTTAAAGCTATAAATATTTTTGTATCCCTAATTTAAAGTTATTTTGCTATACTGCTATTATTAAATTGTACAAGCAAATTTAAAAAAAAAAGGCATAGTTTACGTGCTTTACGCTTAAATCAATGTGTTGATTTTTAACTATATATATAATATTGCCGTGACGAATTATTTGGGCTTTAGAATAGACAAATAACTTAAATATTTTTGAAAGCAGATTTTGCGACATTTTTCCCCCTAGTTTAAAAATGATCAAAATCATTATCGTATTCTTAGTATTTGCAAATTTTTATGATCCCAAATAATGCAGCATTAGAGTAAGTTTTCAAATATTAAAACATTGAACCACAAACGCTTTTCCTTTTCGTAAGACTGTGGTTTTGCTTCGTATTGACGTGTTGCGCCATTTTTCATATAAGTTTAGACAATGCTGGCTTTAGATAGGCTAAACTTGACCTAACTGTCATGAGTAACAGTTGAAAACTCACAGCAGTTATAAAAATAGTATATGATTAGCGAAAAAGCATCATTTCATATTATGACGTATCATTCGAAAAACAGCCTTAAATCCTCCGCTATTAGTGGAGTGTATGAATTTTATTAGCATGGAAGCGTTAGTTTCAAAAATAAAGCTAAGAAACGTAAAAAATAAGTGAAATGTAAAGAAAAGTAAAAGTAAAATAAAAAGCAATGTATATAATAAAATTTAAAGTTAAAAAAGCAAAATTAAAGTAAAGTGAAGTAAAAAGTAAAACGAAAGCGTAAAGTAAATTGTAAGATATAAAGCAAAGTTAATGTAAAGTAAAAAGTAAATTTAAGTGTTAAATATAACATAAAGTGTTAAATATAAAGTAAGGCGTAGACTATAAAGTAAAATAAAGCTTAAAATATAAAATAAGGTGCAAATAAAAATAAAGTGTAAAGCAAAATGATAAGTATAATGTAAAGAATGGCGCAAATTGTAAGAAATAAAATTAGCTGTAATTTCTTTTAATATTATAATTATTTGGAAACTTCATAAAAGAATTACTTAACGTTAATTCTATTTATTAAAATTACTTATTAGAATAATTAATTAAAAGGATTCGGCTGTTTTAAAATATCATTTTAAGAGTGCAATCACGCACATTGACATTAATGCTAAACGTAAGAGCTATGCCTAAACTTGGGGTGAGTTAGCAAATTTGGCAAGTTTCACTTCTGTCGGTTAGGTTATCACATATTAACAATTCATCCAGCAATTATATAGATAAGTGTAACATACATTAAATACAGTGATTACGGAACAGTGTTTATAAAAAATATTACTGACATACCTATTAAGGGTGACATCGTGAAGCTCATTGGTGCATACAGCAAGAGCCTGGATGCCATTGCCATCGCTCGATTCTTCTTCTCAATAAACTCATTCAAGGTTCCGGGAAGACTTGTTGTATTGCCACCCAAAATAAGTCCGAGTAAGCAGATGGCAGTTAAAGTAGCCGAAAACCCCGACACAAAAACAAGCATTAGGCACATTAGTCCTATTAGGGCGAAACAAATGGCACTAAAGTTGGCGACAGTTATGTATCCATGATCGGTAACAGAAGCTAAGAGAAAGCGTCCAATTGTATCGAAAAACGACAGAGCCATCACGAAATATACCTCGTGATCGCGTTCGACGCCCTTGTCTCGAACAATGTCTATGGTAATGGTTAGAAACATATACATGACGTAGAAATGCAAGCTTTGAATCAGGGTTATGAGCAAAAACACGGGATTCCATAGAACACTAATGGAATTACTTGATTCTTGCGAAGTGGGTTTCTTACTATTTGTAGTAATAGTTCTAAATTTATTGTTTATATAGTAAATTTGATCGTTCAAGACACTGCAATTTAACACTGCAGGCGTATGCACTTGGTCCTTAAGCACTTGCGTATTGATAACTGAAGATGTTTGCTTCTGATTTTTTAAGTTTTGATTATTGAGCACATCAGTGTCCATTTGCTTGGAATGTCTTTCTAATATGTTTTTCTGCCATCTTCGGAATTCCAAAGGCTCGGTACTTGTATAGGACAACAAACGTACTGGAGTAGAGTTTAAAGTATTTTGATCAGAAAGGGAACTTGGTACAAATGAGAAGATAGAATCAGGATGGAGTTGAAATTCTGACACATCAGTCGATTTAACATCTGAAACATCGTTCGCAAGTTTATTATAAAATTCGAATTTCCGTGAATCAAATTTCAGCTTTAAATTAGATTCTTTTTCCTTTTCAATCGCATGGCACACGCTTGATTGTTTTGTTTTCAAATTCGATTCACCCGCTGATGAAGGTTTCAGTGATTCTGACTTCTCAGGCTTGGGTTTATTTAACAACATAGTCACTGGTATGCTGTTAAGTATGATGGCGGATATGATTAGGAAAGTTCCGGATGTCCCGAAATGCAACAGTACTAATTCCAAAAGAGGAGGAAATAAAGAGGAACCCAAGCCGCTCCCACCAAAGACAATTCCTTGTCCCTTTGCTCTGTGCCTGTCGAAGTGTTGATTGATGATCTCAGGGACAACAGCAGTGGCCCATCCTAAACCAAATCCTAAAATGAAAAATACATTTTATCTAAAATAAAAATGTGAAAGATTTGCATCAGATTCTGATTATGAGTTTATACTTTTCATTAACAGTTAACCACTTTACTTTGACTAAGGACCGGTTGTCTCCTGCGTGATCACCTACTTGAAAAGTCAATTTAAAAGAATAAAAAACGATAGAAACGGACATTTTTATGCACGTTTCTCAGAAAACTGGATTTAACTTCACTAAGTTTCAAGTTTAGTTACAGAGTTCGTCAGCAAATGGCGCCGTATACTATAAAAGCTGTTTTTAATCTGACCACCATTTGCAGCAATAATGTGGCATAGACTGAGAAGAAAATTAGCAAACGCCTGTGCAAATATTTCAGTTGGAATGGTTTGACATGCGGATATGATCTGGCAAATAGTTTTCCAATCAACAGCGCTATCTGTTGACGATCTTTGTAATTAATATTGTAACTTGAAGGAGATAGAATCCAGGTTTCCTATACATTTCTATCTCCTTCCGTTTTTCTTTAATTAATATTTTCAAACCATCGGTCAATTTTGGGACAATCAATGGATGTATGATTCCGAAATGCACAATGGGTGCTCCGAAGTAACTACCTCGTATTAATTCATATTTTCACTGGGGATTAATTCATTCTTATTAATTCATATTTTTAGAATTGTAGGCAACAAATTCAAACATTTGTCGGAAATTTTTTTTATTTGAGATAGAAAAATAGCCAAAACATTATCAAGCTATAAAAATTCCACTAAATCCAATAAGAAAACGTGTGTGATAAAATAATAAAGTATCAGTTTATCCGTCGAGTCGAACTAAAATACTATCAAACCGCTTACTATTTCCTTTTCTATTAAAGTTACTTATTGAAAATTTTAATCCACTCTTTTTCTTTGATCAGCCACGATGTTAAACAATGCTACGCTGATAGCATCTTGTTTTTTTCTCACTGCATTAAATAAAAAAAAGCGCAACGTTCAGGGGGAGAGCTGCTTAGTTTAATGCCTGATTATTCTTATTTATTTCATTATTGATTTAATATGCACGTTTGTAAAGGTGTCCCTGACAATTTGCCCCAAACTTCTACCCCACTTTACCTCTTGGAGTTAATTGGAGCTTTAGTGCTCAGTCCCTCATTCGTGCCACAGCCAAGATGCTCATAAGGGGTAGCTAGATCAGGGGAATTATCATGGCTTGGTAATAATTATTTATCGCCAGACATAACCACCACGGGAATATTATTTCAGCAATAAATTATTCATGTATCTATCATTTGTCTATTTTATAAAAAGATATAAAGACATTAAAAAATTTAAAATTATTAAGAGCAAATAAATTACTTTTAAAAAACTATAGTTTTGTATTTTCTATTTAGTTCTGCGTGAAATGCTATCTCATGACAACTCTTAGCTATAAAATTAAGAAATCTTTGTAGAAAATTAATTTGAAAAACTATGCTTATTAAGGGTTGCAAATAAATATTTAAGAAAGGAAAAAAAAAACGTTGTTAAAACACTAATTAGGAGAGAAAAAAGGGATTTAAAAATCTCGTAATCATTTAGTGTTATTGTCGGATGAAATTGTAATGTCTATAGCTAGATACCGTCTTTAAGATTCCTCCTCACTTAACTCCTTCCTTCTCGCTCCCCTTGAAAATGACGGGGTGAGGTTTCGCCTTCGATTTCTCGCTCCCGTGAAATTGCCGGGTTGGAGTGTTCAGTAGTAACGCGCCAATAAGATTAAAGCTAATTCATTTTCCTTGCCCGGAAAACATTTTATTCCTCATTTTACACACCAGAAGGCAGTACTAGGATTTTTTAAGGTAATTGTAGAGAGTCAGTATATTTTAAACTAGATGTCAGCACTAATCAAATACGTGTATTTGGCAAAATAGGCACTTTTATGACCGTTTTTTTTGAAAATTAACCGATCGTTAAGGGTTAAAAGATATTCACTGGTTTTAATATCTTCCTTACTTTTAGTAACTTCAATAGTGACTCGTCAAAATTTCAGAGTATTCTAATAAGTCCACTTATTATTTTGCTTTCCCTTACTACACCGTTCTTGGCATTATTTTTCACGAAGACTCTATAACTATACAAAAAGTGATAATTACGAATCAAACAACGTGTGGAGTTTTTGCACAAAGGATTCTATACTTACCAAAAATTAAGCCAAAACAGATATCAATGATAATGATGCTCTCTGCAAAGAAGCACCCTCCAATGCCTATTGCACATAATAAGCAACCAATCTGTGTCACTCTCTGCAGTCCTAACTTCTCGCCAAAATATCCTGCAAACGGACCTGTTGGCGAAAAGAATCATTGTGAGTTTTAGTTAGAAAGAATATTCCGATTACTTCGCTTTTACAATAAATCTGATTTAAAGTAACATATTTCCCCCCTGTAAGCTTTTTGTTCGAGTGAATGAAAAACGATTTTGTATCACAAAGCATAGACCGCAACAACTATGGGACAGTTCCGCGACACGGAGCTTCAGGGACTGGCTCCACATTCCTTCAACTAAGGAAAAGTAAACCAGTGGATCCTAAAAGGTGATGTTCAGAACTCCAAAGTTACGTAAAAAGATCACAAGGGTTCCATTAATTAAGAATTTTTTCTATCAGTAATGAGTTTTGAAACCTGTAATAGGTTCACATTTAACTAAAAATCATTTATTTATTTAATAATTAGAATTATTTTATCGATTGTTTATTTAATATTGTTATGAAGTTATTTAAGCAAAATAACAATTTAAAAAATAGCAAATTTTGAAATATATTTTTTTTTTCAATAACAATATATTAAACAAATTTCTAAAAAGATATGTTTCTACAAATGATTGTTTTAGTATTTCTCGACGAATTCTTAAATTCACAATAAAATAACCTGATTTACTTTTTTTTCCAATGACTAACGGATTAACACTCAACATTCAGGTATCAGTAGAACAGATTTGTGGGTCACACTTTCAGAGGCACCATATTTGGTGGCCAACGCAGCTCTCACACTAGGGACAGATAGTACAAAGAATGAAAGAACATCCATGACTTGTTCGGGATTCAAACCCAGAACCTTTTTGATACCCAGCTCCCTGAACCTTACACTGTCTCGTCGGTGATAACCTAATTTAAGGATTACTAATTATTCTCCGATAACAATTCTCACACCAATTCTCACATTTTTTCTCGAAAGTCATAATTCAACTTATTTTATTCATTTCAGTTAATGCATTCGACACGAACTAATCCCAGATTGTGGTTAACCCCTACATTTTGAGGGTCAGAAATTTGGAAACAAAAATAAAGATGTGTTTATTCAGAGAAAGTACATTTGTGTGTCTGATTTCGTAACTTAAAATATCGTCTGCACTAAGTAATTAGTATATTTGAGATAAATCCCTCGAAACATTTAGCTTGAGTCCTAGAAAGTGAAGGTCCCGCAGTGGACTGATCGTTAAGACACGGTTTCCAGCAGATCACCGAAGTTAAGCATTACTGGCTGCGGTCAGTATGCAGGTGGGTGACCACTTAGACCTAGGGACCGAGAGTGTGCGATATTGGTCCTCATTAAACTGTTCTACCATAAAGTGCTCGCCTTCACGTGCAGGTCGTTGGGCTACCGAAGCAAGGGTGCCATCCCCTCTGCAGTGGATCAAAATTGTGATGGCATGTCTTCGGATCATCCTCAGGGATGTTTCCCAGACCGTCGCCAATAGCCCATTGTGCAGCTCTAGTGTGACGTAAATGAACTACAACAACCTAGAACGTGAAGATCCGATCATCAGATCAAAAGTAATTTAGGGTGGTCCATTTTTTATTTTGCGCATTGTACATGTACATGCATTCACGCATCCAAAATTTGCCTAAAAAAATTTGCAAATCAAGCAATTATTTCTATGCAAAAATTTATAAATTAAAATGCCTTTTGGAATAATATTTTCTAAAGCTTGAAATTTAAAAAATAAATTTATTTAAAAATTGCTACGTCTCCACAACCGTTTGCTAAATAAAATGGATGTTTTTTTCTTGCTTTAAAAGTATTATTAAAAAGAGAATATTAGAAAATACTTTTTGGGTATCAAAATTTTTTTTTAATTTTCAATTTAGAGTATTTAATTTTATTTTATACTCGTCGTTGAACAGCCGACCCAACTATGGGTTTACGACTACTAATGTTCAACTCCGTAGCTTTGTAAGACAAGGGAACTCCAAGAGCAAGTATTGGGCGAAATTTGCCTTTGTGGAGGACTTTTTGATGGGACTAACCCGCATTTGCGTTACATGGAGAGGAAGACCACGAGAACCTACCACGGTTTGACTGATAGCGAGGGGATTCAAATCCATGCTCCGTCTACTACTGAGGATATTTCACGTCAGCACTGTGGTCGGTGCAAGCCGGGTGCGGAAATCGTATCGACCAGCCAACGCAAGGATCTAACGCCTGTTCATCTCATTGGAAGACGAACGCTCTATCCCCTGAACCATTCATTTCCCACTGAAAAAGTATTTAAAGTAAACCATTTTTTTTCATGTATTTTATTTAATTTTGCCTTTTGCGCTCTGTACATATAATTAAAAAAATGCGAAAATTCTATTGATTTAACAAAAATTGAATGAAGCAGATAAAAAAAATCACCTGACAAACTTCTTGCGCAATAGGCGAGAGCGAATGGAAAAGATGCTGCATTCCTGTCAGCGCCGTAACGATCCAAAATGGAGACAAAAAGCTGTGATCCCAATCTCATGGGGCATGTCACGAAGGTGAATATGATGGAGCTGGCCACGGCCACAATCCAGCTATGTCTGCTGTCCAATCCAGTTATTTTCATTTGGAATGAGTCTGAAAAAGAAAGAGTTTGGGTCATCTTTTTCGTTGCAATATTTAAAAACAAATTATTTTCATTATTTTAAATCTTTCTCAATTGTGCTTATTTAAAAAGCAATTAAGACATAATACAGAAGATTCTGAATATCGTATACTCAGTTAAAGGGTTAAAAATTCTATCGAACTAGTAATAATGTTTTAACACTACAGAAAAGGCAGGAAACATAACATAAGTTATCCGCCTGATTTCGACATAATTGTTTTTAACGAAGCCTTAATTAAAATTTTAATTTTATCTTTGGTAAGCTTTGGGAAGCAATTAAGACAAATTGTGATGCATAAATTTTGGATTAGTTTTTTTTTCTAGGTCAAAAATGTGTTTTCATCTGTTAAATGATAAATCTTAAAAAATTTTAAACGAACCATAAAATAAAAATAAATACATTGATATATATTGAGTATATATATCAAAGAATTAGGTATACATATCAATGTAGTGTACAATATACTGAGTTTTTAAAGATAAATTATAAGCATTCTTTTTTTTTTAAATTTGATAAAGGTAAAGAAATTCACACTTAGACTTTAGCTTTTAGATCAAAACATCTCTAATAATGTACAAAGTCTACATATAAAGTTTCAAAGAATTCTTTTGCGCGTCAGCATAAAGACATTTTTGTGAAAATCAGTGTTCTTCAGAGAATGCATTTAAAATGCAAGAAAATTCCGAAATGCAAGACATTTCTGGCAANCATGTTCCCACAACAAATCAATACCTCTGGGGGTACTGATCCAGGAGTTTCCTTGTCTTCTGGATTGGTTCAAAATTACAAGGCTACGGTGTTAAACATTAATAGTCGTAAACCCAAAAAATTGGGTCGGCTGTTCAACGACAGTTACAAAATAAAATATATTAATACAATACACTAATTTTTCAGTTCAGTATTTTGTTAATTTAGCCGTAACATTCTATTTAAAATCACGAAACAAAACAAAAAAAATGATTGAACAACAGTGGAGTTTAGTGAGTTAAGTGGGCTGGGGGCGGAGCTGTAATTTTTTGCCTAAAATATTAACAATTAAATTGGAATTTAAAAAGCAAAGTTGTAGATGAAGTTGTAATATAGTCTAAGAGCAAAATGATTAGGTTTATATTTTATAACAAATAAATCTAAAACCAAATCTGTTTTAATGAAATGAAACATTTTGGAATATTTTATATGAATATTCATTCACTTAAAACCATCCATTTTTCGTAAAGAAATGAAAAGTGATTGTCGCAATCGTAGTAATCGGTGAGCTAAGCGAGCGGGAGGAAAAGATCTCTTGTACTATTATAACAGAGAGAGAAAATCATATTAATAACTATACATACAATGATTCGGAAATGCTCCAAGTTTAGGCATTAAAAATCATAATATTTAAAGTATTCTGGAAGCTTCTTGTCTCAATCCATAGATGGCTCTGTCATCAATGAAGTATTAATAGTGAAATAAATGTGCATAGGAAGTTAGAAATAAACCAGCCATGTTATTCGATAGTTGTTGTTAGAAGTTTTTATTTTTTTTTTCTTCTAGTGAAATAACTGCAACTGAACTCCTTGTTTTAGCGATGATGTGAAGACCTTAAGTATACGACTGGGTTTAACGGAATTTTTTTAAACACAATTTTAGATTAAAATTTTAATTTTATTTTTGGTGAGCAGAGGTCCTAAAATTATAAATCTAATATAAACTTTAAAAATTTATGAACATTAAATATATAGTATTTCATAAATATCAACAAAAAAATTTTCTTGATCAATAATATAGCAGTTACCTAAGTTTTTAACTAAAAATATTTAAAAATTTCAAATATACAATGAAAGAAAAAACTAAATAAATTGTTCAGTATTGATTTTTTTTCTTAAATAAAAAATTTTTGACATTCTTACTTAAAGCATGATAACTATAATAAATTCCTACTTAGATCCTAGCTTTTAGTTCAAAACGTATCTGACATTTAACAAGCTCAAAATACAAAGTTTCAAAGAATCAAAGTTTCAAAGATTCAAAATAGTCATGATGCCACGTTAAATATAAAGAAACTTATTATACTCATGATACTTGACGGGCATGGCTTACTCGAAATAGAATGGAAAGAACAGTATCTAGCCTAAACAAATGCCATGTTTCAACAACCAATCAGATTCAAGATATCCACTCTACGTCACTTGCAGGTATCCCATTATTGGGTTCTTCCGAAAGTGGCGTTTCTTGGTTACTTTTTTATGGAAAATAGCGATTTCTTTTAAGGAACATAAAAACATAATGGTCTAACTCAGTTTCCCGTTGTTGAAGGTGTCTTTTAATTGACCGTAAATTCAAATAGTTGGATCCAGTTTTCTTCATTGATTTCCATATCGTTTTGGTTGTCTTTAGCATAAAATTGATAAAAGTCCTAAAGGTATTGTTTTCCTATAAATACTTTGGTATCCCTTATTTTAAAATCTTTACCTGTACAGCTATTTTTACGCTTTTGATTTTGATTGTTTTCTAAGTTATGAAAATGAGAGCTACAACACTTTGAGAACTATGATAATAGCATTTTTTAATCATTATTATAACGTAATTCTACGCTGCATTTTAAGATAAAATTTCGGTGTCTAATCTTATTAATCATTCTGTAATTATTATTTTTTGTGCACATTTGATTAATATACTGTTATTATAATTAGCTTCACACGCAATGTAATGCATGCAAAAAATATATTTAATGTATATGTCCTTTGGGAAAGCGAAAATATTAAATTACGGTTGAGAACCCACCTAATTTGATATGAAAATACACTTTGATTTTTAAATGTTATTTTTAAAAATGATTACTTCGCAAAATTCTTTACGTTCACTGATAGATCTTAATGAAATCACGTGTTTGGGGATGGGAAGTGGGGGCACAAGCATAAGCAAACAGAATTCTTTTTAGTACAAATAATTTAAGTGAATAATTTCAACGTTCATAAAAAAAACCATTTTATTTCAAGAAACAACAATTATTGCGATCAGTTAATAAAATTTCGCATTTGCACTTTTTCGTAGTTATTTCGATCTGAGAGGAACAAATTCATCATTAAAATCTCTTTAATTAACGAAATTGATTATTATTAAATTTTCGAAAGTGAATGGGGGAAAAAAAATTTCAACTACTCTTTTGGGATTTGGATTTTAGTACAAATATAATCCAGAATATCTAACTGGTTTTTTTAGTAACTGTTAGGATATATTTTCTTAGTATTAAAAATATCCTAATATATTTTTGCCTGTAATTAGAGCGTCAAAAAAATACATGAAAGGGAGACCCGCGTCCCATCTGCTACAGAGAGTTATCGTAAAAAAAACAAGCAATTTTAATAATGAAGAACAATAATTTCATTTAAATCAAAAAATAAAAACATAATTTTTTTCAATTTTTAAAAACGACATACATAAAAATGAAAACCGGTGTCCCATCAGCATCAAAGGGTTGTGAAAAAAAAACCAAACAATTTTAATATTCAAGAAAAATATTTCCATTAAAAACAAAAATTCGAAACATTTTTTCTTTAATCTTTAAAAGGGATTTAAAAAAGACGGTTAATTATTTTTGTACTATCCAACACTATAAAAAAATTATTAAAGAAACAATACCCGCCTTTTAAAAACGTTTTAAAAGTTGTCTCGTTTTAAAATTAATTTTAATGGATTTACAGAAAATTACAATATTTTTCCTCATATAATTTTCTATTATTTTTAGAAGTAGAAAATTTTTGAGACATTTCATTTTTTACGTATTTATTCATTCTATTTGCTTGCAGATGTAAGAAAAAAGCAGTTTGTCTGAATGATATTTAAGATGAAAGACTTTAATCGAAAGCTAAAACAATGTAATTAATATGAAAAATACATACCTTAACAAAGCGATAGAATTTTCAATTGCAACTGAATTCGAGCAAAAGTTGATCCGTTCTTCTGCTGAAAAGTGGGTAGATAATCTCGAAATGTGCTACTAGAATACACCGGAATCTACTTCCTAGGCCTCTTTAATTTTAATCCTTTATTGGATATACTTTTAAGTGATAATTTTGTTTCCTTTTTTACTTTACACAAATATTTACTATTTCTGACAGTAGGATAGATAAAATAGCGAGGTCTTCGAAAAGCTAAGTAACGAGTATAAACCTTTCACCTGTTGGTTCTGTACACAAAGGCTTGAGGATTTTATAGGAGTAATTTCTCAATTTTCCTCTGTAATCTGAGAAAATAAATCATCCTTAATCGCATTTTACTCTAATATCTAACAATCACGATAAGCATATCTTCCTTTTCATAATTTTTAAAAGTTTGAATTTTTATGACGACAACTCGGTTGTTGGTTTTGCGCTGCCTGAGTTAATATTGTCCGCGTAATAGTTACTTTTCAAGTACTTCTATCTATTTTGAATATTTGCATTACTTTAAAAAGATAATAATCTTGATCTTTGTAAATCAAAAATGATACCACCCTAAAAATATTTCTCAGATTTTGCATGAACTCAATTCGTGACTTTATTTCATTTCCTTTATTTCAAATACCCCATTTAGGGTATTGATACGTTCTAGGGGAAGTAAAAAAACCTATTTACTAAGTACCTATAATAGGTACATACATTATGTACCTATATTAGAAGATTGGATACCTATTTCCTCATCACCTATTACCTTAATACCAGTTGTACATATTAACATAATTGATGCATCATTGACGTTAATTTTATTGGAAAATGGAAACGAATAAAGTACTGACTTGAATTATGAAATATAAAAATTATTAATATAAACATTATTAATAATAATAATAAATTATTTGATGTTATAATGGCTATTCAAAAACAACCGACTTTTCCCCTGCTTCCTTTAAAAAATGTATAAGAAGGACATGCAATACTCTTTAAATAAAATGAACCTGATGAAATGAAAATTTTATATAAAATGAAGGTGGAAAATGAACTGAGACTATATCAGCTCGATTCTTATGAGTTAAATGCGATATTTTATTTCTAACTTTTTCGAGGAAAACCATAAAAAAATACTGTTTATGAAAATTTTTAAAATTATATTATTTTATTTTTTTTTTTCGTGTTAGGAATAAACAAGGCCTTAAAAAGTTGCGCCTTTTTTTCCAATATTTTCTCATCTTTGTGAACTTGGTATTGATAATAAAACTAAAAGGTCAGATGTACTACTTGTAATGCATATCAGTTATACTAAGTGCAACCAGAGAGAAAAGCTGATTTAAATCTAATTATTTATTATGTTACTAGTGGTGTGGATAGAGCAGATAACTAAAGATGGAGGTTTTAAGTATTAGACTAGCAATTAATTATCCGTTAAATTAAAATATTAATCCAGTAATGTTACAAAAAAGTTAATAAAAGATGATATCTTGGTAATTAATAGTTCCTGAGATTCGGATTTCTTTAAAATTTTAATTGAACATAAATCTGAGTATCGGAATCCAGCTCTCAGGAAAGCCTGAAGTCGAAGTTGGAATCGAGCATTTCATTATAAAAACATGCACTAAACTGAAGGACAGGCGTTCACAAAATAATTAAAACTAAAATAGTTTTATTTCTTTTTATTTATTACCCTTCCCATTGGCTTTATGTTATTATATTAAGCAAAACAATTTGTTAGATGTTCATATCAGCGTATTAAAAATTAACTATAGTCATTATCATTTTGCATGATTTATTGCTCAAGGACAGCACTTGATTGTCAGAATTTTCCACAATCGAACAATTTTCGCCTGTACGTATCCCTTTTGGAGCACGGTAAAAAATAATTTATTACCACGGTGCCTGCACCTATATAAACCTTTGGCACCTATAAAAACAGCACCAATTGCCTATTAAAAATACTAGCAGTTGCGCAGGCCAAAATTAATTCAGCATCATCATCAATAATAGTATGACACTTTTAAACAAATCTCTTAAAAGAAATCTTACCTTTTTTCTATTAACTTTGCTTTTCAGTACCGAACTTTTTTTTATTTCAATTACCGTTGATTTTAATTTTATAAATACACCTTTGAAAATAAGATATCTGCAATGGTTGTAGTGTGGGTATTTCGATCCTGATTGGTTGTTGAAACATGGTATTTGTTCACATTGACGACTGCTCTTTTCATTCTATTTCGAGTAAGCCAAGCCCTTTAAGCATCAATTCTCTTAAATTATTCATTCTATATTCTTACACAAAGATTGTTTCACAAAGATTTCGATACTTTCACTATATATTTCTTACTTAACACAAAGACAAACACGAAACCATGTAGAACATAAATTAATTGTGCATCGAAGTTGCGAAGTTGATACTACGATTACAATGAAATGCTAAACAAATAATAATTTAAGTTTAGTGAAAGACGTAAAAGAAAAAGAATTATATTTCAATAAATTCGATGTGTGATACGACACTAGATATAATTAACTTCACGTTGATTAACATTCTAACTTATGTGGAGGAACTTAGCTCAACTTTAACGCGCCATTTTGCTTATAAGCAATCAGCTGGTGCTGACATCATAGGTCACATGTGTGGATATTTGTGATATTCTTCTTCTTGAAGTGCAAGTACCCAATTCTTAATGAATTTTTCTAATTCTGAAATAATATTTTTGTTATTAATTGTTTTGTTATTAATAGGTCACATGTGTGGGTATACATGGTCATCTTCTTGAAGTGCAAGTACCCTATCATAGCTATGAGCAAAATATTCACGTGGTTTTAACTTTCTCAGTGACGTAGACCAGCAATCCGCGTTGACATTAAAGTGCGTCTAATAAACTCCTAAGTAGAATCACCTACAGTTTAAATTCATAGAAATTACTATATAATGCTAAATACGAAAATTTGTGAAACATATTTTTTTCCTGAATCTATAATTTTAAATTTTTTTAGCGGTTTTCAGGATCGGGAGCTAAAATACTGTATTCCATGTCCAAATTTCAGGAGCGCAGCGTAAATTATTCCTAGGTTATATGCGATTCAAGTCTAACAAGGACAAACAAATATACTGCGTAAACAGAAAAGAAAAGTTAAAAATGTGGAACTATTTATTTAGAATTAAATACATTCCTTATATATCAAGGATTTATAATTCACCAGGGTACAAAATTATTATAATTCACTAGCGTACAAAATTAGTTTTCTACAAACATTTCTTAACTCAAAATAGCAAATTTGAAAGCAGTTTGATATCGTTTATATAATAGAGGTAAATTCATTGCAGTTTCTGTGAAGCTTTTGGCCACAGTAGTAATAATTATTAGTACATTTGCGCTTTTTACGACGTAAGGATTAATTCCATAAAATTGAACAAAAATACTTTTTAAAAAAAGAATTGTTGCTTTATTTTTACTTAGAAATATTATTTTAAGATACACCATGACCATCATACATCCAAAATTAAAAGAAACTCCTTTATCGGGATGAAGAGAGGATTTTTTTCTTTCTTTTTTTTTTAACATAAAGTTTTTCGAAAACATTTATCAACTGTCAGGCCGAGGGAAATTTCTCCCTGGTCCTAGCGCCAAGAATTCAAAACTAAAAGTAATTAAATTGTTCCCAACGGACGGTTAGTAGCATAGGAAGAGATCCATAGTTGGCGATTTATAGAAAAATAAAATAGCCAAAAACCATGCCAACCCCCTGAAATTAATATTAAATTTGAAGTATTTCGGCTTTAGCTTAATCGCCCAAAAGACCGTAAAAATGAATATAACCCTGTAACTGAAACATTTTTGTTGTAAGAGAGATAAAACAACTCAAAAAATAAAAAGTTAAAAAAAAATATATATATATATATTAGGGCGTATCGAAAAAATCGAAATTTCTTAGATCTTTCTGCGGTAGTGCGGAAAAGATGTGAATACCTATTATTTAAAAATGAGCGGAATCTTAAAACTCTGGGTTGATATCTTCTGTTGCCTCAATGGGCCTAAAGTTCCGAAAATTCGACTAAAAATGATTAAAATACAAAAATTAATACATAACCACAGATTTCGTTGATCGGTTTGAGGTAGCACTTAAAAGCTACAATATTTTAAAAACAAAAATTATAAAAAATTTTAGAATTACAGATTAATATCTTCTGCCTCCTCATCGGCATCTAATTTTCGAAATTTCGACGCATTTTGGTACTTTTCTGTATAACTGTTTACTGCTTGCACAATGCACAATCGAGACAGACTGGATTTGGCGCTCTGCCAAAAAAANAATTTTTCTATTGAATTTTTAAATTATAATCATGCTATTTATTAAACAGAAACAAGAAGTTTCTGAGTGCTTGGTAATTTAAATTAACTTTTGTGGTTAGAGAAATTAAGGAATAAAGAGTTAATAGATTTTGATATTCAATTAAGTTGTGGCATGACTTAATAAATTATGCATTTGTATTTAATTTTTTAAAAATTAGCCGTTGTATTGATTAATAGGAAAAGAATAACATATTTATGTTCGCTTTTTATAAAATGTAATAAAAACTAAATAATTAGTTTAATTTAATGAAAATTGGATTAAGAATGATTAAAAAAAATTTAATTTAAGAACTTAAAGAAATTTTTAAAGTTAGGAAATATGTAATGCCTATTATGGCAACACAACGATTTTTTTTTCTCCTTCGGCAAACGTGAAGGCGAGAGTGATAAAGAAATTTATCTGAGAGCGCTCTATCACGGTCGAAGCCTTCATGTGCTTTCCATTCAAAATCGTGATAGCGCAATGCGTGTATGCTACTGCATTGTCTTCGTCCCCAAAACTTTAAATTCTGTCATCAAATTGTTTTTCACTTTACCCTTGGGGGGGGGGAAGGGGATAAAAGAAAACACCCTCTGTGATAACTCATCTCGTGACCAGCAGATAGTACATTATGATCGGTTTTGGGGAACGTGTTTGCTTTCCATGTTTTAACTTACTTGACTGCTCCGCACTATGTTTACTCCAATCACCAACCTCCTGGTTGCTGCTTATTCATCTTCTTTTTTTTTCTTTTTAAAAATGTATATTTTTCATAAAAGCTTAGTTTGCTTACAAGTTATATAGTTTTTATAATTTTATGTAAGAATGTTTTGTTAATATGTTAATCGTAACAATCTGAGTGATTTCTTGGATTTTATTTTATTTATGATTAGCGTTGAACCAATTTTGCATTTACGACAATCGATGTTCTACTCCAAGCCCTAGTAATTTTCAAACCCAGAAGGCAAAGAAACTCTTGGATCAAGTATCGTGACAAACTAGCTTTCATGCAGGACGTTTTGATGTAATCAACCCTGATTTGCGTTACATGGTGAAGAAAACTACGGAAACCTAACATGGTAAGTCAAAGGGATTCTAATCCTTGATCCATCTACCACTTAGGACTTTTTACGAAAGCACTGTGATAGGTGCAAGCCGGGAGCAGAATTTGAATTCGTGTCAACAGTCGCCACCGAGATTTGAACCTGGGTCACCTCATTGAGAGGCGAAGTCTCTATCCCCTGAGCCACCTCGGCTCGATTATTTGGGTTTGAAAAATAATCAACTGCACTTGATACAAAATATTTTATCTAAATATATAGCACTAGGAGGCTCCACCCCCTGCTCGCTTACGCTCGACAAACATTTTTTATTCCATCGTACAAACTGTAAATTCTTTAAGCACCGTAAAAGTTACATGTTTTTATGTCTTTGAATTTTTAGGCAGCAGAACAAAATGTAACTTTAAGTTGGACATCCAGAAAGAAGTTGTCAACTCTAACGAATTGTTAATAAAGAAAAAAATTATAACTTGACATCCATAACAAACGTTTTTTTTTTTACTTTATTTTTTACAAGACTTTTAAAAAACACACTTAAACGTAGCTTCTTACGGAAAACATTACAAATAGTTATTTAATTATTAATAATATTTTCATATACAAAATCTAAAGACAAACATTTACACAATATTTAAGTTTTTCTGCTAGCAACGTCATATCGTTTCAAACTCCATGAATGTTCAGTGGAATTGTGCAGTTTTCTTTCGTGTGTTGTGCATGTGAGACAGGATTTGAAGAACAATACTACAGGCAAAACACATGGACATCATAATGTAGAGAAGACCATTATAAGAAGATAGGACCTCTCTGAAGTAGCCTGGTGATGGAAAAGAATATTAATCAGCTTAACATCAATTATAATAATTAATTCTCATAATTTACCTCATTAGTGATTTGTTTTTTAATCAACAACTGTCCTTCAGATTTCATTACTCGAGGGTTAGCAACTGACACAAGAAAAAGCGGGACTATTTTTCTTCGCCCTGGAAAACTTTAATTTAACTCCTCAAATAATTTTGAAATTATAGTTGAGAAATAAGATCTTCTAGATAGTTTTCAACCCCAAGTGTTGTTCCGTAAATAAATTTTATTGTCTGAAACGGTAAAGCATTGCAAACAGAGTGCGTCCAGTCACATTATCCAGAGCACTGGGACTGAATATTTCTCTAACGGTAAACTATGCCAAAAGCGTTACTAAAGGAGTATATCCGGTCACATGATCCACTCAGTAAAAACCCCTCGTGTGTGTGTACACAAAAAATGGTACACTAGAGAATAAACAGATTTCCAGTGAAAATGTACCTTTTTCACCCAAGTATTGTTCCACTACACCAAAATCCAAGAATATTCTTGGTGCTGTTAAACACGTAAAATGTTCTTTTACACAACTTGGCGCAAAGTAGCCACCTGTTTGTTATTTAGTAACCCTACAATTCATAATTACAGTAGAATTTTATGCACATAAGCATCAGTAGGACTATTTTTACGAGATAATGTAAAACCTTTGCCGAAAAACATTTTCGAATTAAGCAGCGAAGCCTTCTAAGCTGCAAGATCATTTAAATAGAATGCATTCAAATTAGAAAAACAGAAATGCGGTCCATTTTTAAGACCTGGAAGATTCTTAAGGGCTATATTTTTACCGCTAACTATCAATTTTTAGATTATTGAGGGAAAAAAATTAAATGTTTTCGTTCCCTGAGATAAGTAAGAATAAGTTGTAGTAAGAATAATGAGTTTCTAGTATTGTAGTATATGCTATAATATTCCAAGTATCACCTTTTTTTGCACTTATTATTTTTAAGTGCATATGTTGAGTAGATACTATTTTACTCATACTCAGTTTTACATATGGTAGTTTTACATAAAGCTTATCGAAAAAAGTTTATAATATTTATTTACTGTTTAATTAATATCAAATGGTTAGTGAGATAGATACCATTTTAAATATGTTTATCACAAAATGTTGCGTATTATAGTAATATCATGCCGACCTGTTGGCCGAGTGGTTAGCGTGCCTGACTGCGGAGCCGCTGGTCGCGGGTTCAAATCCTGCTCAAGGCAGGGATGTTTCTTTCTCTCTCTGTGTGTGTTCTATGTTCTTTCTGCTTTGTGTGTGAATGTGACCCGCTCTATAAACGGGTTGTGTGACGTGGGCGACGCTGCTTCACCGCCGTGGCTTAGCCACAGGTACCCACTGGGTAACGAAAAGAGAGTAGCAGTTCTGGCATTTTTGTGGCCAATGGGACAACCCCCAAGTGCCCTCCATTAAAAAAAATATATAGTAATATCATTCGATTTTTTTATTAAAAAAAAACATCACTTTTAATTTCTATGCCTTTTATTTGGAAAAATATTTAAAATCACACACTTAATAATAAGAGAGAAGAATACTAAGAAAATACAATAGATAAATATTTGCAGGAATTACTTTTTATTATAAATATTACTTGGAAGTAATTTTTTCTTTTTAATTAATCTCAATGAAATAAACATTATAGTATTATACTCATAACACTGTAATTATTTCTAAATACTATTCATTGCTTATTATTTTTTCAAATTTCTATAAATGATCCAAGTCCCAAAAATGATATGCCCTGTATACCCGAGGTATTTTATTTTACAACCGTCGTAGAACAGCTGACCCAATTTTTGGGTTTACGACTACTAAGGTTGAGAATTCCACAAACTTGTAATTTTGAACCCAATCCAGAAGACAAGGGTGCTTCTAGAACAAGTATTGGAAGAAATTTTCCTTCGTGGCGGACTTTTTGATGGTACTTACCCGCGGTACTTACCCGCATTTGCGTTACACGGAGAGGAAAACCACGAAAACCTTCCACGGTTAGCCTCACGGCAAGGGGACTCTAAACCATGATCCATTTACCACTGAGGATACTTTATGCCCGCTGGTCGGTGCGAGCCAGATGCAGAATTCGCATCGACCAGCCATCGCTGGGTTTCGAACCCGGTACACCTTATTGTGACACGAACATTCTATCCCCTAAGCTAGCGTTTCCCTAAGTGTGGTACACGTAACCCAGGGGGTACACGTTCTTATGCGAAATATCTTGCAACAAACAAAAATTTCAAAAATGTTTATTTAAAAACAGAGCTAGCCATGAAAATTTACGATTGCGTATTTTTCTATTGGCTATTTTTTGCAGAGTTAACACTTAATAATCAGTGGTGTCAACAGCCAGTTGTGGTTTTTAACTTTTGTGCAATTTTTTATTGTAAAAAATGCATTCATTTTTTTTTAATTAGTGGTACACAACGTTACTGAAAATTTAGAAAGGGTACACAAAAGTCAAAAGCATGGGAAACCCTGCTCTGAGTCGTCTTGGCTCATACCCGAGGTATGTAAAAATTCCTGTTTGGTATGTATTTTTAATCCTTTGAAGCCCCGTCGGGTGTAACTGAGCACCCCTAAATCAAAATTTAAACATCTCTTAAATTTTGAGAAAAGTCGTCAAGATCTCCGATGGAACGAAATAGCGGCAACAAGGAGGAGAAACAATTTGAATAAATTTTATAAGACCTCATTGTTGCTGAATTTAATAAACTTAAATAAGAATTTTATAAGTACGAAACACAGCTTTTTTTAATTCCTAAAGTTTAGTTTGATTAAAAAAGTTTAATATATAAAGTTTAGATATACAATAAATAAGACAGAATTATTCTTCAGAAATCGACAGTTTTTTTTATTCTATAGTCATGTTCAGTTTGATTAAAAAACATTTAATACGGACAGTTTAGATATAAAATAGATTAGATGGATTTATTCTTTAGTAATTCACAGTTTTTTATTATTATTATTATTATTTTATAGTCATGTTTAGTTTGAATAGAAAACGTTTAATATAGACAATTTATTCTGTATATCTAAACTGTCTATATTAGATTATTTCCTTAGAAATGTTGCTGTAAATATAGTATTCTAAATGTCATTTTGTACGACCGATTTAAAATTAGTACGCTCATTTCATTAATATGCAATCAAAAACAATGTACAATTCACATGAGCATGAATTCTGTTATTTAACATCCCCGGTAGGACACGAAAAATTCTGTGATTTTTCGAACGCTGAAGTAATCATGATGAATGTACAGTACACTATAGAAACTAAGGAGTAAAATGTCTCCGAATATGCGTTTGATCGACCCAAAAAATTGTGGGTGAAAGCACCTTAATCGAGGTTAACACCAAATCATGCTCTCATAGACAACTGAATGGTGTAATTTAAATCTAAACACTTAAAATGGAATAAGCTTACACCAAACACTCACTATTCGCTCCAAACGAGAATTATTTTCACTTCCGAAAATACCGATTTGCAGTTGAAGAATTTTGAATATCGTCCATAGATTGTTTACATTTGAATGCATGTTGGCGAGAGTTAGTGAAAGTCTTCACTGCATTAACCGAAACCATACATGGGAACATAACTTTTAAAAAGTAACGAGTAAAAAGTAAAAACTTTTGATTCGAACAAATAATGAGTAAAAAGTACAAGTACAAATCAAAGTAACGATTTTAAAGTACATTTCGAGAAAATTGAAAATTCAAAGTAATCTAAAATTTCATTTAAGAAAATGAAAGAATATGCAGTTAATTTTATTTTAAATTTATAAAGTTTGAAATGTAGGAAAACGTTACAAAATTCATTGAAAAAGTAAACATTGAAAATATCTAGGAAAAAAAAGAAATCAAAATTCAATGTTTGCATATCAAAAAAAGTTTTAAATTAAATAAATTTTTAAACTGCAAAATCCTAGAAATTTTGTTTTAATTTCGGGATTTGTAGTAATCAATTAATTTCTTGAACGAATTCTATAACATTATATTTTTTGTTTTTTGCCGACCNAAAATTTCATTTAAGAAAATGAAAGAATATGCAGTTAATTTTATTTTAAATTTATAAAGTTTGAAATGTAGGAAAACGTTACAAAATTCATTGAAAAAGTGAACATTGAAAATATCTAGGAAAAAAAAGAAATCAAAATTCAATGTTTGCATATCAAAAAAAGCTTTAAGTTAAATAAATTTTTAAACTGCCAAATCCTAGAAATTTTGTTTTAATTTCGGGATTTGCAGTAATTAATTAATTTCTTGAACGAATTCTATAACATTATATTTTTTGTTTAAAGAAATAGAAAAAAGAAAAAAATGTATTTTTACATAGGTAACCTCTTGAAATTCCTTAAATTAAAAATTATCTTTCGTTTTTATAAAAGCTAAAAAAAAAAAAAAAATTTTTTTAATTTTAAATAGTGACAATTTTTTAATGTGTCGTTAATTTTTTACTAATGAAAGATTGAGCACAAAAGTTTTATTTTTAACATAATCATATGATGAACTAAATATTTAGATTGTAAAATTCAAAAAAGGGGAAAACAATTTGAAAAATTATTTTTTATAAATTATTCATTTTATTTTATAATAATTAAAAATAATTAAAAAATGATTAAATTAAAAAAATTTTGAATTGAAAAGCAATTTCAAGAAACTTATATCGATAAAAAATTTTGAAGAAATTCAGAAAAAAGTAACAATTTCTTTTGACATTCTCGTTACAAATACTTGTACATTTTCCAAAAAAAAAAAATAATAAATAAATAAAATAAAAGTGCGTACTTTTTATTTTTACTTTCGTTAACGAAACAAGTAACGATAGTAAAAGTATTGTCATGCATGACCAAAACAAAAGGTGGCGGCCATCAAAACGTGTACATTTGTTTTTAGTTGTTAAATAAGGATGATCATATTTTTATTTTTAAATCTCTGTGAAATGTAGTAAGTGATTTTTTACAGCACAGTTTTTATCGACATCCGTCTTGTTATTCTCAATTTAAAATTAAATTATCTTTCTCTCAAATTCTCTCTGTACTACGTGTTAGTTGATTAGTGACCTATTTTCATTTTAAAAAATTATGAATTAAGAGTTTGTGTATATGTTACCGTTAAAGTGTGAAATCCGTCATTTCATAAAATAACTAGAAAAATCAGTTAAAGTACATAAACGGATTCAATTCTATGATTTAATAAAGTATTCCATAATGTATGTGTGTGCGTTTTACTTCGTTATCCTTGAGAATCTTACTTCTTATAAATTATATTACTAAAAAAACTAAGAATAAACAACATTGCTTTGTGTATTTTTTTAAAATAAATATGTTCTATTGTATAAAACAAGCATTTTTTTTTGCTCTACAAATAGTGATTTATTACAATGTAAACCCTAATAATTTGAATATAGCTTGTTCACCAAGAGTTGGCACTTGGCTCCGCCTTCATCACATGCTATGCGACTATACTATTTCGTTATTTTTGGGAGCAGGGAACTGCTCGATTCAGTACGCTATCCCAGAAAAACAACTTACAGGGTGAAGAACATACTCAAATTTTTGCAAAGTGTCGTTTGAACTAAGTTGCAGCGCATGCGCATATGATGCAAAGCGGCAGTCAGGAGGTACGTCACCAGTAAACCAATTGTTGGACAACCCTACATACATGGTTGGGTGCCTTGCTTCCCGCCATTTTATTCTTTCTTTCTATATCAAAATGTGTTAGCAGATTTAACTAACGGGGAGGATATACATGTATCCTCAAAGAAACATTTTAATTAATAGTACAGTATAGCTGGCCTTACAAACTATCAAGTCAAAATCTATTAAAGGAAGCAAAAATAAAAACAATAGAAGATGAAATTAAAAAACGAAGATGGAGCTGGCTCGGACATATCTTTAGAATGCCCAAAGAAAAAATTACATCTGTTGCGCTTACATGGGCCCCTGATGGTAAAAGAACAAGAGAAAGACCCAGACTTACCATCCAGCTCATGTTTTTGGGCGAATTAAAAGAATCTAGAATATCTAGCTGGGAGGAAGCAAGATCTATTGCTAGAGACAGGAGGCGTTGGAGGGATATGCTAGAGCCCAAAGGCACGTAGAGGATAAGTAAAATAAGTAACAGTATAGTTTATCAATAGTTTAAAAATACAGAACGAGACAACGATGTGAAAGAGAATTTTTCTTCCTCGCCCCTAAAGCTTCCCCTTTCTCAGTATTGGTTAAAAATAGAGGAGGGTGCAAACCCGTTTATAGAACCTCCGCTGTTGTGCCCCTAAATATTGTGTGTTTCCTTTATACGCAGGGACCACACTTAACCTTGAGGAAAAGTTTACATTACTTCAATGAAAGCTAAACTTCTTCCCCTACGTATATTCTATGAACGGAGGCTATTGAGAAGACGCAGATTAAACATTTGTTAATTCGTGCATTCCCTACATTTTTTTTGGAATTAACTCATTTTCAAATATTTCTTAAGTAGTTCAATTCCATATACTCTTATGTTATTAATTCTATGATAATGGAATATTTAGATATTTTGCAGCCATAGCCAGATCTATAGATTACGATTACGAGGCCCTAAGCCTTAAAAATGAAATTGCAAAAGGTAATTCAACTGTCTATTATGAACTTCATACATCATCTTATATTAGTCCTTATCACTGTCGTACTTTCGTTCCTTTTCCACATACAGTACACTCTCGATTATCCGGTTTGCGGATTATCCGTGCTCATTCCGAAGTCAAAAAAAATTTAAAGAGAAACATTTTCAAGATTAAAAAAATTTGATTCATGAAGTTATAACACTACCCAATTTTTGGAAACAATATTCGTTATTGTATTGCAGTATATGGAATATCAGCAGCATGGTCGAAGGTGAAATCGTCTGCGTTATCACGATCGTGGAGAAAGATGATACCTCTTGTTGAACAATCTTCTTCAGATATTCAAGAAGAATATGATAATAGTATTCTTGAACAAGCAAAAGAAATCGAAGGTTTCGAAATTCTTGATTAAGAAAATTTAGAAGATTGGTTTCAAAGTGATGCTTGCGAGCCTGGCTTCCAGTATTTGGTAGATGAAGACATCGTTATGTTGTTAAATCAAATAATGATGATAGTAACTAATGCAGAAGATGTAGTAAATGAGGGAAATATAATTTCTCCTTCTGCTGCCTTGTGGAAACTTTATTAGTTTATATGGGAGCATTTGATTACGGTGACATTAATGCGGTTCGTAAAATTTGCGACAATATATGGCGCATTGCACATTTTTTTAAAGGAAAATTCCTAGTTTGATGTTATACAGCAAGCAAATGTCAGTAATTTTTATATTTTTTGTATTGATATTGATTTTTTCTTTAATAAAATGAGTTTTCGATTGTCCGTGCGACCTGTCCCGGTGATTAACCCGGATAATTGGGAGTGCACTGTAGTTGAAAACTCAAAACTACTTTTAAAAGCTAAGCAAAAAGAGAGCAGGAAAAAAAATTTTCGATGCAGGAAAAACTAGCTAGTAGCAATAAAGGAGTTGCTAAATTAGTAGCGACTGTAATAATAGCAACAATTCTTACCTATTAAAGGAGACATGGTAAAACTCATGGGTGCATACATTAGAAGTCTGGAAGCCATTGCCAGTGGTCGCTTCTCCTTTTCAATGAAACCATTGACAATACCAGGAAGGCTTGTTGTATTCCCTCCGACTATAAGTCCAAGTAAACAGATCGCCAATAAAGTTGCTTCAAATCCCGATACCCACACTAGCAGTAGACAGGACAGTCCAATCATTGCAAAGCATACGGAGCTAAAATGGGCTGCTGTCAAACGCGTGCAATCGGTGACACACGCTAAGAAGAATCGTCCTATGGTGTCAAAAAGGGAGAGGGCCATCACAAAATATACCTCCAACTCTCTCTGCACTCCCTTGTCTCTGACTATATCAACGGTGATGGTCCAAAACATGTACATAATGTAGAAATGTGAACTTTGAACAAATGTTATGAGTAAAAAAGTCGGCGTCCATAAAATGTTAATGGATTCGCACATAGATGTCTCTGCTTTGTCTTTAGGAACAGAATCGATTGGGTTAAAATACGTGTTTTTTCCACCCACTGAAGTCAACTGATTGGTTAAATCGTTCACATTCAATTCAATAATTTTAGCAACTGGAATGGGTCGATTTATTTGAGTCGAGTTTAATTTTGTAGAATCGAATTCATTTCTTTGACCTACAAGATTATTGGTGGAGTTTTGCACTGATGTGAATGAGGGATTGTAAAGGATATGTTTGTCTGTGTCCTTGGAAAAAGTATCTTCCAACTTTGGAGTTTGATTGTGGTGGGAATCGTTAGGAACTAAAATATTCTTTTCCTTAAACATGTCTATGTTTAATTTGTGTGCAGTTTCTGAATCTGTGTTTTTTTGTTTCGCCAGTTTCTGATTTTCGAAATTATCTTCAGTTGTTTTTGACTCAGGTACCTTTTCCTCATCTGGCTTGGTTAATAACATCACTGCTGGGATGGTATTTAGAATGATTCCAGAAATGATTAAAAATGAAGCGGACTGCCCGTACGTGTTTAGAACGAAAACTAGCAATGGCGGTGTAAGAAAACCAGACAATCCACTTGCTCCGAAAACAATGCCATTGCCTTTAGTTCTATGCTCAATGAAGTGCTGGTTGATGATTTCGGGAACCACAGCTGTTGCCCATCCGTAACCAATTCCTGCAAAACAGTTATTTTAGTGCTAACAAATATGAATGAGTGCGTTCGGTTTCACATTTAACCCTAATTAAAAAATCGAGTAAAAAACCAATAATATTAATTTTTCCTGTGCTTTCGAGAGTAACGGATCTTGTAGAATATGTCGTCAAAAATAGGGATTTGTTGAAAATTAGGTAAAAAGATGAAATTTCTGCCATTTGGTGTATCTTATTGTCATTTCAACTTTTCCTGTAACTGAACACCAAAATTGGTAACAACTACTTAACACCAAAACATATGTAGTTTTTCACTACACTAAAAACTATTCTTATTTTTTATTGCACCAAAAAGTATCCTTGATATTTCACTAGAACTCTTTTACCACGAAATATTTGCCATCATCTTTAGTGTTGCGATACACTCAAATTTCTTACAATGTAAAAATTTTCATAAATGTATCAATGTACTAATGTTTCAATGTATTAAATTCAACAAAGATTTAAACTACGCAACAATTTTATTTATAAGGACTTTACATTTATGCTTTCAAAATTTAAACTGCTTTTCTCATATAACTAATGGGAACATATTTTCCAGATTGATTCCAAAAGGTTAAATATTTTGATAGTCAGCAATCTGAATTCATGAATAAAAAGAATGTTTATTTAGAGAAAGTTCGTTTTTGCGTCTGATTTTAAAATGCAATTATTAATTAGCGAATTTGAGTTTACCTCCGTAAGCCATTAAGATTAAGTTCTAGCACGAGACAATCCGACTATAAGATCAAAAGTTATTCAGGATGGCCTGTTTTTTTTTCCACAATACAGCTCATGTTGAATGAGAAGAAATACAGTAACGTAATATGTTAGTCTGAAACCAGAAAGACAAAAAGGGCGATTTTTACTTAGGAATCTTAAGAAAAGTAGACTCATAAATGCGATAAAAAAAATAAAAAATCAATTTACTAAATGTAATTAATTATTAAAGTTATTTTTAATTAATGCACGAAAAGGGAAAATCTAATTTTTAGCCTTCTTTCATAGTGTAGGAAGTATTTATAGAGTATTTCTCCATATACTGGTCATAGAACAGAATACTATTATGTCATAAAACTGTCCGAATGGTTACTTGAATCAAATTTTTCACAGTTCTTATTATTTTTCATTTTTGGGAAATGCCTATAATCAGAAAAAAACCTAAAGCATTATTTTTCAAATAATAACATTAAACCAAACGTTGTCAAATATATTAATCTCTGGGTCTCAGGAGGATATTAAGTATATTTTGAATGAAAATTAACTTAGAGTTAAATAAAATTAGCTTAAAATAATTACCAAACACCAATCCTAAGAATATGTCAATTGTAATAATATTATTTGCAAAGTAGCATGCAAACATTCCTGCAGCCGATGTTAAACAACCAATAGCAGTCACTTTTTGCAGTCCAATCCTTTCGCCAAAATATCCTGCCAAAGGACCTAACAAATGTTAATTAACAGTTAGAGTTTTTATTAGTATTAACATTCAATTAACATATTGTCCCGTTAAACTAATAGCATTATGTTATATTGATAAAATAAGACAATTTCCTTAAACAGCATGCCATCGCTGTAAAAAATGCAGTAATTGAAAAGCGTATTGAAAAAAGTGTTATTTTAGTTCATTTTGATCCATATTTACAATCCTTACAAAGGCAACGAATGTTTAAAAAAAATATTTTTCATATTGAAATTGCCTTCTTTATTTATACATATATACAAATACAAATCAAAACGTCGTATAAAAATTGCCTTCTTTAATGCAAACTAACTTCTTGGAGTTGACTATAATGCACTAAGCTCTTCAATTAATGCCATTTTAAACGATAAAACTTTTTTTTAATTGAAAATATTACATAACAATCTACAAACTTTTTTTCTTCTGGGATGTCCTGAATTAGGCTTACGATTTTCAAAAATTTTTAACAGAAGGTATAAAAAGAAAAAAGATTTTTTCAGCAAATTAATGTGTGCAATGCACTTGACCAATAACCCAATGCACATCCAGAAAAACGTGAATACAATTTATTGGAAACACGAAGCGACACAGATACTTATCCGATTTTGCTTCGAAATGTTACGAGTCGTAACTTCAGCCATATATGGCAGTACTTTTACTTTCGTTACTTGTACCACCGGTACAAGTAAAAAGTACGTACTTTTACTTGTACTTCGTTACTTTTTAAATTTAGTACTTTTACTTGTACTTTCGTTACTTTTTTAGGGAAAAAGTACAAGTATTTGTAACGGAAATGTCGAATGAAATCGTTACTTTTTTCTAAAACTCGGTAAGCTTTCTAAAAAAAAATTTAAAAAAATGCTGTCAAAATGCAATTATTTTGCAAAATGAATAAAAATATTAATTAA